AACCATTATACCCTGATTTCCCATTTTCAATGGGTTCAGGGTATAAAAAAAACTAAAAAGAAATGCTTGCTCATTAATGTTGACATATTACAAATTATTTATGACAGTTAAAATTAATCTGACACAATCTCACATAGTAAGAAGGTCTTTTCTATCTCAGTAAGTTTTAAAAAAATGTATGCTCTTACCGTTCGATTAGGTAGAGTATTAGAACAACAACTACCATTCCCACGATCAGAGCTATAATGAATTTGTTGATGTAGTGCTCACTAGAGGCGGATTTGTTGCCCGTATAGCGGCTGTTTAGTTGGAGTTTTGTGTACATCCCTGTATAAATGGCACAGCCTACCGCACGCTCTGGTCCTCGAATGCGTACACCACGTAACAGAAGATTCTCGATTGTCAATGGTATTGCTTCAGGATTGTCTGTGCCATTTGTGAGCGTTTCTATACGTCCATTAAAGTTGTAGAGATCAGGCGTTGGGCGTTCACATACTATGTGGATTAAGTGGTTAACAATGGCTCCCAAATCGTAGGTGTAGTTAGTGGGTGCAAAGACTGGCTTAAGATTCGTTTCGCCATCTAAGTTCGCCGTGTTCACAACGCAGATGTTATTTTCCGAAGACGAGTGAAGCAATACCAAATCGCATGGAATGTAGCTCTTACTAGTCACTACCACCAGATCGCCTTGTTGTACGTATTCCGAATCGATGCACTGTTCCTTTCCATTTCGTATAATTGTTACTAAAGCATAATAATAATAACAAAATAAGAGCGGTTTAGCCGGCACTGGTCGACTTAGAGGTACCATACACTTATATTATGTCTATATATATATGTAGGAATTAAAATTGTAAGCGGTCAAACCTTTGGCTGAATTAACCATTTTATCGTTTTTCGATCGTGAATAATCCTCTATACCTTCCTTCAGCGCTGTTACTATCATAACGAACAGCAGCGGCAGCAGTGATGTTAATGGAGATATAGTATCGTCTACATTGGAATCAAAACCATGTATATATATATTAGTATCAATTGTATTTGAAGCGTATGGGCATCTCTGACATACTAACGAAAAACGATATAATCGTTATTATTAGAAAGTAGAAATAGACGGCTCGACGGAACTGTTCGTAGAAGTTTAGGGGGACAAAGGTTAGCCAAGTATACTTGGTGGTTCGCACGCGGTTCAGGGCCTGTTGTTGATGCGTAGCTCCAATTTTAATGCGTAACGGTTGTTTCTCTGTGGTGCTGGAGCGCGTCATTATGAAGATACTGCCTTTATTTGCTCACTCTTGAATTGCATATCCTCAATAATCGTATAACTTAAAGGATTGTGGGAAAAACACGCCTATTATCTTTCAATGTTAAACTTTGACTGAAATTCGGTAGTAAACTTCTTTGTTAATCGAAATGTATAACGAATTCTAGTTTTTCATTGATACGAACCCCTGCTGCGAACAATTAACGCCTTAGCCCAGATTAGCTCTATAAAATTCTCCTCAATCAGATAATTGAAAATCCATCCATTGCTTAAATGATCTTTAGAACGAAATGTATACTGTATGAAAATATAATTATATTAACAAAAATATAAAAAAAAGAACCTTGTATTAGGGCATGTATACATTGACATGTATACATTGAATCGTTATTGTAGATTAACATTAGCTATAGATTAGATATAGCTTGTATATAGAAGTAATACTCAAGATAAATTACTTAATTCTAACTGTTTTGCAACACGTTGTTACTTATACATAGAAATTATGCTATAAAATAACAAGTAAGAAAGCTCTAGTCGAGCCTGCTCGACATGAGATCAGGGCAACCCTTCGAGCAATTTATGTTTCAATAATTATTCGTATATGCACACACACGCACTTACAGATGCGCACGTACGCATAAACATGCATTGGTTGCGGTGTGGGGTTACTACGGGAACTTAATTGCTTAATAACTTTTCTTATGGATATACTTTCTTCTTTAAACTTTCAGTTCGGGATTGTGACATTGAAATTGCATTTGCCAAAGCACAAGTCTCTAGTATTTAAAATACACCTCTTACGAAGGTAATGGTGAGGGGGTGGATATAGGGATAGGAGGTAAAATTTAACGAACATAAATTTGGAGACTCTACAAGATGTAGCAGATATAAATTTATAACTGATATTCGATAAGGTTTTCAATCGACAGCTAAACGAGTAGAGTTTTCGATTTTTGGAGATCAACTTAATATCCGCACTATATATAAGGACATTTTAAAACAAATTTCAAGTCTTCAAACGTACGGACAGACGGAAGGACGAAGAGGGCTAAATCGACTCTGTCGCCCTGATCAAGAATACATATACTTTGTGGGGTCTGCCACGCCTCCTTCTG